CAGTAAGTTTATACAAGCCGTCTTCGTACCACGAGTCACCAGTCTTGCTCGTCCAGTTAACCAAATAGCTTCACCAATATATATATATATATATATATATATATATATATCGTGTGCTTTCATGGAAATATTGCTCAGTCATTTATATACTACTTATTGTAATATATATATATATATATATATATATATTCACTTTGTGTTTCACCGTACACTTCGATATTTCTGTGCGCGTTCGTTTGTCGTTTTTTACGGGGCACGGGATTTCAACAGGTAAACCGCATGACCTTCGCACCACTGACTTCTGCTCTGGTCCATATCTCTTAACGTCTCTACCAAACGACAATCCTGATCTGTTATATACATATTCATATTCCCAAAGCCAATATTAATTTCACTAACCATTTTACTTTTATCAGGATTATCGTACCGCGATTTGCTTGGTGGACTCATAGATGTGATAAACACCCCACGAGAAAAGTATTGCACCCGCCACTCTAGGTTTCATCATCTCCGCTCCCACGTGCACGAGCAGAACCATTTTTGAGAAACCAGACAACAACCAGATGAAAAGCCGAAATACAAAATGTCATCACACTACCATTCATTTTAGAAAAGATATGATGAAAAAGAAAAATAATTTTCATCAAAACGAGAGTATTGTACCCTCGCCTCCCTCCCTGGAAATTGCTTATTGAAGTCAGTTCTTTACCGGGTGCATTGTCCACTCCGTCTCAAACCGTCTATGCACCTTCTAGGCATACTCTGTACAAGAGTTCGAATCATGTCTGTGATTTCATTATTCCACTCCCTAAATCTCATTCATGTTTCATGGTGTAAAGTCGGGTGGGAATAGCCCAAATGTCTTCTGTTGGGTTCAAATCGGTGCAGCACACAGACCACATCGTTGTTTGGATGCTACGATACAATGAACCGGCATCTGTTAGATACCAGTTGTGAACTGGGGTGTTAGCCTGCTAAATGGCCAGACGGTGCAATCGGTCGGGATCCATTGTGGAACGAGGCATCTGTAGCGTCGTCGCGACATCCAGCTGTCTGTGAAGGGTCGATTGTATGCTGCGGCAGTTCGGCCAGTTCTGCTATACGGCGCAAGAACTTGGTCAATAAGAAAGCAGGACAAAGATGGAATGTCGGTGTCTGAACATCGCTGCCTACGCAGCATTGCACAAATCTGGTGGGACAGGCGGACGAGCAATGCTGAGGTTAGGCGCAGAGTTTTAGTTACCCGCGGTCGCCCACTGGAGCAAGTGATCGACCTCCATAGATTACGGTCTTCGGGACATGTGTTACGGATGTCACTAGATAGGTTACCACGGCGAGCGATGTTCGCCAAGGCAGGTGGTGGGCGGAAAACATCCAAGGGTAGTCAAGCTAAGACCTGGCATGAGGGTGTGAAAACTCTAACCAGGAGTCTAGGTCACATAGGTCCCATTAGGCTCCCTGGATTGGGACCTAGGGATGATCGTACCCGATGGTTAGAGACACTGAGTGTCGTGAACAGTGGCGTTTGTGCATGTTGTCAATTTCTTCGCAACCTCAGACCACTGAACTTCTCCATTTTCTGTTCGACTCTACTTTTACCTTTCCTGTCTTTCACCTAATGTTAATCGAAATGGACAGCCAAAAGACAGGAACCAAAACCGGCGCACGATAGTGCATGGTTTATGGTTGTAGAAACCAAAACTGAAACTTTCCAAGGAGCCAGTCGCGGTATAGTTAGTAAGTTCAACCCAAGTGATGTGTTCCTATCCGATGCGATGACTGACGGCGTTTGAGGTTACACGTGGGAATAAATTTTTACCTGTCCAGGAAAGCGTCGTCTGGCTTCTACTCCGTTTTAACTAGTTTCAGCTGTTTTCATCATCCAACTATCGTTCCACAGTGAATCCCGACCGATTGCACCGTCTGGCCATTTAGCAGGCTAACACCCCAGTTCACAACTGGTATCTAACAGATGCCGGTTCATTGTATCGTAGCATCCAAACAACGATGTGGTCTGTGTGCTGCACCGATTTGAACCCAACAGAAGACATTTGGGCTATTCCCACCCGACTTTACACCATGAAACATGAATGAGATTTAGGGAGTGGAATAATGAAATCACAGACATGATTCGAACTCTTGTACAGAGTATGCCTAGAAGGTGCATAGACGGTTTGAGACGGAGTGGACAATGCACCCGGTAAAGAACTGACTTCAATAAGCAATTTCCAGGGAGGGAGGCGAGGGTACAATATTTTTGTACTCTCCCCCCCCCACGGGATGGGGTTGTGGCTGAAATTGCGTGCCCTTTCATGTGTAAAGCACTACTGTATTTTCAACTCAGGGACAGGATCTCGGTTTTTACTGTCTCATTCTATAGACACTTNNNAGATGTCTAACTTTTGGATTTCGGGATTGCATTACAGTCTAACTGGGTTCCTAACCAATGCATATCATTTACTTATTCAAATACCGGCCTTTCACATTTCGCTGAGTATCATTGTACAGTGCTTGTGAATAATGCATTTCGTCATTTCTTCCGTGTTCACACGTGAATTTTAGCAACCATTTACGTAGCCGAACCGCTAGCAAGTCGCCTTATGTCTGAAAAGAAACTGTGTTTTGGTGAGCAGTCCATCAGTTTTCCATGCCTGTCTCTCTCCGCCTCACTGTGAGGCCCGCAATCAAATTCTGTGTGACAAACACGATCTTAATTAAATCCTGATTGAAAGTTCATTCAACGATGTTCAATCGAATTCAAAGGTACCTTCTGCCGTTCATCCACCCTCTTCCACGGCAAAATCGTTCAGTAAAAATGTGATTTAGAAGCCAGCTATTGAATGGCCCAACACACCGTTCTTCGTCAAACTGTTCTATTCCAATATTTGTTAAAGTCTCTTAAATAATCATTAAAAAGACCAGTTAAGTGAAGAATTCATTCTCAAGCTTCTACGTGGATATACGATCACAAGGTAGCGACGAAAGTCACAATTTTTTGTGATCGTGTATTCACAATATGTTGCCTGTCTGAATGTTCTCTGTTGTCGTGGTAAACTTGGTTGTCTCGCTAGTGATGTTGCTTTCGGCTCAGGTGCGCCCTGTTTCGCAGCTCTGCATTGTCGTGAAAGGATGTTCTGTCTTTAGGCGATAGATCGTTAACATGTGCTGAGTATCACATAATTTTCCAATGTTCATCATCCATGATCTGTTTCTCTGTACTAAACTGATGTTGCTTTTGTTCTAAATGTGAAACGGACTGCCTCACTTGGAACCAGAACCCTAAACTTTCTTTCCAATCATTCTGTTTCAGGTTACACGTATGTAAAAACTCATTTTCCTACACGAAAAGCAGAACGATGGGAACCCGGATGCATGATCAAGGGGCGAAATGAACCGGCGAATATTGTGCAGGTGATGGAAGTTGTAGCTGCAATCAAAGAAGTAGATCCGGACACGTTGGCTGAACAAGTTTATGAGAATACGTTGAAACTGTTTCAGCTGACTGATGCATAATACTCTAATCGGCTGTGAGAATAGAAACATATCCATATGTCTTTGATAAGACATTCGTTCTCAGAATTATTAGCTTCCCGATTTCCGGAAAGTCATAAACACTCCAGGTTAATCTTGTTTGCATTTTTTATTACACGCATTTTTGTGTGGTGAAAAACATCATCATCGTACAGCGAAATACAGTGAAGCGAACTTCACTGATCGCCGCCAAACTCGCAATACATACAAGATTAGTGGTGAAATTTAAGGTGGACGGGGAATGGACCTACTTTGAGGGAGGGGAAGGTGAATAACTATGGTCA